ATCGGTAAGACCACGAACTTTTAAATCTGAACGAAAATACTAGAGGCTATATAGTATCTAATGAAGCAAAAATAATAATTAAGTTGGCTGTTTATCGTGAGATATATTTATTATTATTTTGTAAACTGAGAAAGGGCATAGTCATAACAAGTTTATTTATTTTCAAAGCATCAGTGATAATTTAATAAGAAAAATTATTTCAATGCATTTAAATTTCAGTTGTCGTTTTCTGAAGAGAGGGCCATAAAATAATTTCAACAAAAGTATTTTCTAGATTCGTGTTATTGCTGATGCAGTTACATTAAAACATAACTATTATGTAAATGACACTAGGCTTTCTAGATACTACACATTTATTATACATAATTGTAATTTAGAATAAAATTCAAATGAATAAATTTTAAATCAATATGCAAGTGTACATCTGCTATTTAATTAGTTTACCTTTTAAAGGAATCACTAACAAAACATCAAAGTCATGACTCATTCGATATCTGCCTTCCACTATTGTAGAGTAGAATTTCCAATGTGTTAGTAAATAACTACAAGTATTCTGTGATAAATTTTAATGAAAACATAAATATTATCTTTTCCTTTTTGTGTCTTTTCTGTGTGTAATTCATATGACTGTAATATGATCATGAATACTAACTCAGTCTAAAATATTGCCCACCGATATCAAAGCAACGAAACAAAACCGCAAACCAGCTAAATCAGAACAGCGTTGCGTAGCGTCATCCATTAAATACAAAATTCATTGCACTGAGTTTCATACAATCACATATTAAGGTTACATATGCTTACATAAAACGCATACTAATTCGTTGGCTTGTAACAACTGGTTTCAATTCACAGAAAACAAACTGATTTTCATTCTTGTATCAGCTTTCAAGTTATTTTGAGCTATAAAATATTTTTAAGAGTATTGTTTCTTGACGTCTTTGGTTTTGTATTTATAAAATAAAGTGTGGTTTTTAATCTTTGTTGCAAAAAAAACTAAATTATCTCAAAGTATATACTTATTTACACGATATAATTCTTTTATTATTAAGCGTTGAAGAAAAGATTTAAACAATATTTTCCATGGGATGTATGGGATCATTTTTTATACAAAATATGTTCTCATAAAAATTTATTTTGAACTAAACTAAACTATCAATAATTCTCAAAACTTTAGTGAACTAAAACAACTAGCAACTTTCTAATTTCATAAATTTATTCTGATGATAAATTATAATTAACGCACCTTCTCGGAAATATATTACAGATCACAAAAACAAAAATAAAACATCAAACAAAAATAAATCAGCGAAGAAGTAGACAAAAGCTATCAAATATTGTGTAATGAAATTTTCACTAACCTAAACCGGGACTTCAGGGACATAGTGTCCCATGGGACGTCTTGGATATCGGTGAATTTAGCATTCTATATATAAGAACCTTCATATCGGGATTGAAGTATCATCATCTACGTATCCACATAAAAAAATCCTTCTGAAACTAGATTTTTTTATAAAGAGTGTTATAGAGCTGACTAAAGTGATAATTATTTATAATTAAATATATGGACACTATTCTAAGAGAAATTATGTCAAAAGTATATGCATACGGATTAATTTTAAAAATCTTGTAATTATATGTTTTTTTGTTATTAACAACTATCATAAGTTCCTTGATAAGTGTCCAATTTACTTTTTTTTCTCCATAGTGTGTGATTCGTAGTAAAGTATTTATGGAACGAAATAAAACAAATTTAATATAAATCTAAAATTACTCAGAATCTCGGAACTGCAAATCAATACGAATTTCGTATTTATAGACTCGGTAACTCTGGCATTGAATTTTCTGGTAAAAATATTTAAAATACATATTTTATGACGCAAAATTTTTATCTAGATCACTTTGGTTACTTCATTTTGCAAAATAAATAGGTCACCTTTTTTTATTTTCTAGTAAATATGTATGTATTTTTTAAAAATACTGTTTCTTCAAACTTAAATAATAGACGAGTGAAACGAATTATGTTGGACTAAAATTTTACCTTTTTAAGTCTGGTCTCCTTTTAAAATGATATTTAGATTGAGTTTAGTAAAAAATTAATTCATAATTTACTATCTAATTTTGTAGTGTTAAAAGTTCAAAATCTTATTTGTAAAGGGCTAGACACTGAATGCTTCGTTTGTCAATCCGATTTTAATAAGTGTCAGATTGTTAGATATTTTCTATTAAGGATAATTTGAATCTGTATTAAATTTCTAATCAAGTCAGAAACGGGACACCACAACCCTGTTAAGCTGAAATCCAATGTAATTTGAGGCTCGTCTAGAAGCTTTTTGTGACACAAATTTACAAATAATTTTTATTGTAAAGTAATATCTGTTCTATTTATATAAATCATTTAATATAAAGTCAATAATATAGATAAAATTGTGCAAAAAAAGAATGAAACTATGTAAGGAACACCGTTTACAATATTTTTGATAAACAAGTATATAAATCCATTCTTTTGTTTTATATTTTTAATGCCACAAATACTTTGCTAAAAAATCGTCATGTTGTAATAATGATAGATGATTGTAGATATCTTGATAGTATTTCAATTCATATTTATTTAACGATATACATATTTCTTTACCATAAAATATAGAAAAAATATATTACCATAAGAAAGAAAAAGTAGAAATATGACACACTTAAATCAATAAAAGTTCCAATGCTAGATAACGTTTCTTTATCGAACTTTATGACTGAACTAACATATAATTATTATCAAAAGAAAAATCACAAAACCATCACTTTGACAAACAAAAGGCGGTCTTATTGCCTAATGGCAATATCACTGTAATGTATTGTGTCAGTCGTATTTGTAGTATATCTTCTATATACAAAAGAAAGTTGTATTAGTTACACTATTTATAACTCAAAAACGCCTGTACGGGTTTGGCTGATAATATTTGGTGGAGACATCGCTTAGATCCAGAAAAAGGACATAGAATACTTTTTATCTATATTGAAAAAGAAAAAATAGGTTGATGAAATCCAAAATCTTATTTACTGCTTTTAAAAATGAACATGAACAGAGTTCAAGCGGTCAGATATATACATATTTCTAATTCTGAAAGTCGCAGACGAAGATGTTGGCAAAACTATTATTGATAAAAATCATGTACAATTCTATGTTAACATTTTTAAATATTTTTCTTTCCATAAAGAGGAAGTAAAGGTCACATCTATATAATCCATATAATAAATACATAAATCCCATTGATGTGTTTGTTTAGGATCAAAGAGTGTATGTGGGAAGTTGAGAGAGACTTAAAGAGCATTTCACAGTTACGTGACCAATTGCAACAGCACAATTCTTGACATATGTCATAGGTAGTTTCTCTGTACACGTTTTCATTGTTGCCTTTTATTTTGGTTTTCTGCTCTCAACAATTTTCCAAAAAGCCCACGAAAATAGATTGCAAAAGTTCATTTTGAAATAGAAAAATATTTTTTCTTACAAGAATGAATAACCTTTTTCAGAATTTTATTTTAAAGCGGAAATGGCGAAGTCTTTAGGTGAAAGAAATTGTGATTTATTATTATTAGTATATTACAGAATATGACTATGTTTGATCAATATGAGAGAATCAAGCACAGATGTTTGTTTTGTACTATATTTTACTACAAACCCATTTACATGTCTTTTGGAACTATAAGCACATATTTTCTTACGTAATGTGTATTATTTATCTAATCCTGTTTGTTATTGTGTCTCTTTCTTAAAATAATTTGCTATTGAATATTTTTTTTCGTAGCAACTCACTTTTATATTTTTTCATTTAACATTAGAACCGCTATTTCTTTAGCGGTGAAAGTTATTAGGGGAAAATTAATTCTTTTCTTTTCCCGCAAATATGTTTTTCAGTATAGCTCCCCTGATGCCGAGAGTAAGCGGTTTAATAAAATTGGTTCCGCACACCTGCTTGTACAAACGAGAACAATTTCAGAATAGATGGAGCCATTTCCCTCAGGACACTACTTGGATGTGTAAGAAAATCACTTCAAACTGGTATAAAGCATACATGTATCGTATTGTTAGCATTTCAAATATTCCTTTAAGAATCCTATACGACAACATGACTCATATATACATATGTATACTATCAGATATGAATTAAAACTGCATAAAAGATATATTCTCGCATGTGAGTTTATTTAGCTTTAACTTTTACATTAACAGTAATATATACCAAAAATGTAATATTACTGCCCTTGCAAAACTATTCAAAACAGGTGATACATATTTCATGGTAGTTCGACTTAAAATTTTCGCTTTGGTGCGGTATAATTTTAAAGATAACTCCGTTTGCCAAGACGATAACTTTTGCGGCTTTGAAGCTCGATCTCAGGAACACTCCGAAGTCGGATATCTGAAGCACGTAATTTTAAGGAGCTGAATAATATATACGCATTATGAAATTGTTGAAACTCAATGCTGGTATTATTTTATATTTTTCGAAGTTATGAGGCGTTCTATTTCGTATAAAATGCAATTTTTATTATAATATTCAAAACAGTATTCTTTGGATTTATACAAAAGTAAATAAAAATGAAATAGGTCCTTACTGTTACACAGTAGATATACAAAATTACACTATTTGAATTCATTAGTCATTGAACAGTTCTCTCCCAGTTTTGATAAATAACACAGTTTTCAATAATTTTCTTTAATTATATTAGGCGGTCAATGCATTTCTACGGTTACGGAAAATGCACCATTTAAATTTCTCGGTCGTAAGATAGATAATATAGGCCGTACTCCATCTTTAGAAGGAATAGTAGATAGCTTTTTGAACGATCTTAACAATAATAACTAAGATAGCCAACTGATAAGTAACGTCAAAAAAGCGTGGATCTACGAGAATTACTTAACTTCACGTTTGAATTGGCCTTTCCTCGTCTATGATTTTAATAAAACCCTTTTGTCAAAGTTAGATGCAGGCGTCATAAAGATGTTGAAGTTGTGGCTCGGGCTCGCTCTAACGGCTGATTCATCGGCGTTATTTAGGGGAAGCAATAGTTTTGGGATGAGTCTAAAAAGGCCATCGGAGCTCTATAAACACCTAAGAGTTTCCAAGAGATATATCCTGGGGAAATCCCATGATGACATAGTGACATCGCTCCCAAAAGATGAAGATGCCCCCGAGCTAGAGTCACGACTTCAATTCCATAAGCAATTTATGATAGGAGCGCAAAGTAACAGAGCGGGGTTAGGATCAAATAGGAAAGTCCAAGATGCGGATATATTGAAGTCTTTTATTCGGCAAGACGAGAATGATAAATATAAGATCCATGCAATGAATTTAGAAATGCAGAACGAGTGGTTAGACATAGGAGATTTTTGCATCCCATTAGCATTAAAATGGCGCACTTTAATTTATGATTGGTCGCCAGCATTGCTAAAATTCTATCTCAATGCGTTCCAGATGACTCTCCCAGATCAGAGTAATTTAGTAAGATGGGGTAAAAGTACCGAAAAAACTTGCTATATCTGTGGAAAGGCAGTTGGAACTGCTAAGCATCTGCTAGTGGGATGTAAGGTACTCCTTGACAGCGGTCAATACTCGCGTCGTCACGATAGGGTTCTAGAAGTCATACGTGAAGCGGTTAGTCTTTCGGTAGCCAGAGCGCAAAAGGGAATAACCACAAACGAACGATCAGTAGGTTTTGTGAGAGAAGGCTCTAGGGCTACAAAATCAAACGTCAAGCCTTACTCCATCCTTAAAGCGGCGTCGGATTGGACTATAATGATGGACACGTATGAAAAACAATATAAAATCCCCGAGGATATTTGTGCGTCGGCCTCCAGACCGGATATATTTTTGTTTTCGCGAATTTTGCGCGTAGTGATGATAGAGCTTACGGTCCCTTGGGAAACCAACATCCCCAAAGACCATACCATCAAGGTCAACAAATATTACGAGCTCACAAACGAACTCACTCGAAATAGGTTCGTAGTAGATTTGTACGCGGTAGAGGTGGGAGCGAGAGGTATAACAGCGAAATCTCTCTATAACCTACTAAAGGACTTGGGCTTGTCCAGAACTCACATTAATGCATTCTTGGAACGTACATCGAAGGCAGCCCTAGTAGGTTCTTTTCAAATTTGGTTAGGTAGGGAGAGGAACTTGGACAGTGGAGGTGAGCGTATAACGCGCGTTAGTTAAGGGGCCCCTTAAACCTACACCTGGGTCGCAAGTCCCAGGCACTGTTGAAGCTCCTCCCCCCGCAACGCGATGGACCCGGCACCCGCACGGTGAATCCATGGAATGCTGAGAAGTTTCGTCTTAACCTTTAATGTTGTTAATTTTATAAAAGATTTTTTTTATTTCTAAGCAAAGCAGTCACTGTTTTTTATTTCATCTGCTGCATCTTGCCTTTCTGAATCAAATACTTTTTTTTTATCTGGTCTAGTCGACGTCACTTCTTTTTAATTTAATCTGAGTTTACTTTTTTAAGCTCATATAAACTGCTATTGATTTTGTTCAACATTGCTTCACACATGGAAATAATGTTTGGGTTTTATTTTAACATATCACAAACATGAAACCTCAGAAATATTTATTTATTGAATGGGGATTTTATAAACATGAATAAACTTTTGCATAGTACGAATCATGCTTTGTCTCTCCACCTGCTGCCCGGGGAGGGCGCTTTTATGTCAATTCTAATAAAATATTCACAAGGATGAGAATTTTACCTTCAACAATTGTTTATTTTTCGATCATTAAAAAAATAAAGCTACATTTTTTCTATAAAAAAGGGCTGAGGTTTGTGGAATTGGAAAAAAGTTATACCTATCAATTAAAACGCGACTGTGTAGTGGTATACTTGAATTTTTTAAAGTTAGGTTTCGGAATAATACCTACAAAAAACTTACACGAAATACCTTTATATGTAAGCTCTCAATTGTGCAAATAATAAACAGCTTTTCTTTGATTATAATTTTGTTTCGAATTGTAAGAATTGTATTAATTATATTTTATTTCGTTTTTTTATGTTCCTTAAGTTATGATATTAGAATTGGTGTAATAGAAATAAATTTGGAATCATTGCATCAGTTAATATATTGCAATGTTTTTTTTGTAACAGTTAAAATAAGATACTTAAATATAATTCTATTTTACGAATTTACATTTCTTACTTTTATTTTTCAAAATTTTGCTCGAAATGTCCTGTGAATGACTGTGGTAACAAATGGAATACTTAACAATATTTGTGATAGAGATTCTATTTAAATCATGAAAAAAAAGTAGGATAAAAAATTATCTTCTTATGTCAAATTATAAAAAAACATACCTTAAGTTTAAAATCACAAGTTTATGATATAAAAATAATATCTAAGCCATTAATTTCAATACACACATTAAAATTAATTCCATTTTGAATCATGTTATCAAAAGTAGCTTCTTTTACTGAATCATATTCTTACCAAGCCAGAACTAATTTAAATATCAATTATAAAATCCAGTAACGAAATTAACTTTCCTTTTCACGCAAACGAAAAGAGGACAGACAAAGATTTCCAATAAGAGTGGATTGGCATAATCACAGCCGTTGCGATTTCGCTTAAAACTTTTCGACGAGTTTGAATTAACCCTGCATCGAATCCTGATTCTAATGGATATAAAGAAAATTGAGGAGTTTAGGAATTGAGATTGTTATTTAAAGTGCAATCAATAACAAAGCTATATAAATTTTATTTAAATAATGTAAGCTTAACTTTTTATTTTCAATGTTACTGTTTACCATGCTTTTTATAAATAGAGCATAAAAAAATAAGAAAATAACACAGGTACGGATAGTCAATGTTATGAAATCTTTATTCCGAACGGGTAATACCATTTCTAAGTAATATAGATTTTATTTTACCGTTGAATCAAGTACGGCAGTGCCAGTTATAATAAAGTATTTCATTTATTGCAGTTATGTACAACTTGATTTTTAAAATTACTTCCTCCGTAATAAATGAATATCGCAACCGTTATCTAAACTTATATACATATAAAAGTGCTCACAAAGTAGGTTTAGTAGATAAAATATATGCCAGTACATTTTATGATATTTATGAAGTAACGTTCATTATATGTATAATAATAATAATAATCATCATCAACCTATCAGAGTCCACTGCTGAGGAAAGGCCTCTTTTCACATGAGGAAGGTTAAAGTAATGATCACCACGCTTGCTCAAGACGGGTTAGTGGTTTCAAACTTATCATTTGAAATTATAAGTCCAGGTTCCCTTACCCCTCCTGTTATCCTTCACTGTCTGTTAGTGATGTCTGAATACTCTTAGACAGTATATATGACTCAGAAAATCACATTTGATACTTGCCATGCCTCATGTACGAGAAGGGGGCCTTTAAACTCTAGGCCGTCACGGCCACTTATATACACGATTTAATAAGAACCTTACCTTAGTCCAGGGACGTCGTCAATTTGGTTGCCATCCGGCAACTGCCAAGCGAGTTGCGGCGTGGGAAACCCATGAGCTGCACAGGAGACCCTGGCACCAGTGCTGTTTGAGAACACCAGTCGCGAGGGTGGCTCCATCAGGAACACTGGCCCATGTTCCTGGCCCTCGCCCCCTGAGGAGTAAATAAACAATAAAATACATGTACATATAAATACTATAAATACAAAGCAAACTCAGCACTTAGCGTAATGGACAAATAATTGATTTAAAAATAATCATTTTCATTTACTCCTAATAAGTATGCAAACAACCAAATATAAAAAAAATATATGCTGTGTTGAAGATTCACAAGTTTATTTATACTCATATTACAGCAATACCTTTCATAAAATATGATGAACTTAAAGAAAGAAAACCTACATTCGTATATCTATGTATATTGAAATATAAAATGAGGAGGTTTTAATTTATTTAAAAGGTTTCAAATAATGAAACCATTAATAATATATAAAAACAAATAAAAACTAATTTTCAATCTTAAAATAGAAAACCAACAGCTAACTTAAGCTATCTTTACTAAGATGCAAGTTACTGAGTTACACGGGTGAATTTCAAAGATAATCTTTTCTGTTGCCACTATAACAGCAGATACTCAGCAAACAGATTAGATAAATATTTAGTGGAGTTAAGGAATTAATAAATAATTAATGGTACGGAACCCTTTGTGCGTGGGTTACATTCGCACTTGGCTGGTTTTTATTTTATACATTTAAACAGTTACATAAATTTACCATCTTGCCTTTGTCAGAGTCGTTACTTGGAATATAATAATAACTTAAAAATTAACAGCCTTTGTTTATCAATAATGACATATCAACATTTAAACTGATATAAAGATTTTTGAAAATTTTTGCTGTTATTTGCGAATACTATTAGCATAAAGTAACAAAGACGCTAAGATCACACACGCCTAAGAGATTTCGCGTGTCTATAACTTTTAAATTATACATTATAACTTTCCTGAGTTCTTAAAGCACGGATTGGACTTTTTTGTGGTTTTGTCTTTTTTTTATCCATGATTGTTCGAATAGAATTATATTAATTTGATTCGTTTCACGTGGCATAAAAATGAAATAATATACTTCAAAACTTTTCTTTTTTCAGATGTCCTATCCAGATGTATTTTCATATTACTTTTATGATGTAGGAAACTGTGTAAAACTATCGTGATTAAACCTGAAAAGAACATTGTTATTTTGTTTTTAAAATGTGAATATACAATATAATTATGTCCATTAAAAAGAATATTAAATTACTAGAACTATGTATTGTTTTCATTTTTATTAATGTAGATGTGATACCATACTAATGAAATTTAGAAATGGTAATTGCAAGAGCTATCAAATGTAATAACTATATGTTAACGTTTTGATCGAATAATTATAATATTCAATGTTAAGCAGAGTTAAGCGCAGATTGGCAAATTAACATGTAGAGAACCGTTTCAATGCGGTTGTTACAGAACAGATACATAATATGCTATTTGCATTGCTAACATTCGAGCCAAGCTGGACTGATTTATCGACGACTGTACTGATAATGGATATCCCATCGTTAAGCTAACAAATGACATACAATTATGGAATAAGTATCTGTAAGTAGATCCGAGGCTTTATATATGTATGTTTATGTATAAGACTTAATATAGATCACATAATACAAAATTGTAGACTTGTTACACGGATCTTACACATGAATTCATAAAATTAAATTATTTATAAATCTGACCAGTGTCGGCCAGAAAGATAAAATAAATGTTCACAAACTCACGAAGAAAGGTACTTTAATAGAGATAATTTAAGCAATTTAGAGATATAATCTCTAAATTCGATTTGTAAGTATTCTTATCTTCATAGCTTAAATTGGAGTAGCGGCTAGATGTTCCCGATGTTTTTCCTATCTTCATGCCTTAGTTCTGATTATGCTATAAATGGCGAGTTGCCTATCTATGGAGAAGATCAGATACATTCAAATTGGATTTTTATCTATAATTGTATAATTTTAATGTTACAACCCGAGTCTTTAAGATTAAGAACTGTTATATGTAATCCAATTTTTAGCATTTTAATTTTTTTTTGTTCAGCAATGAAATTCATACGAACAATAAATAGTGTGTTCATTTAGATTGATATCTAGCCCACATAGATAATTCGATGGTGAAATTTTTGAACTGTTTTGTCACTTTGCTCATTTTCTTTTAACGACTGTTCTCAGAAGGAGTGGTGACAAGTTTCGCGAGTCGTCACTTGTCGAGACGGGGACATCCCGCTGGCCTGCAGCTGGTGGAGGTTCGAGACACCGCAGGCGTCTCGTTGACCTGCTGCCGGGTGGGAGTTCAAGACGCAAGTCTACTCATCACCACTGGCGTTTGTCGCCTTGGCGTTAGTCGCCTTTGACGTGTGTCGTCAGTTTGCGTTAGTCGCATTGGCGTTTGTCGCCTTGGCGTTAGTCGCCTTTGACGTGTGTCGTCAGTTTGCGTTAGTCGCATAGGCGTTTGTCGCCTTGGCGTTAGTCGCCTTTGACGTGTGTCGTCAGTTGCGTTAGTCGCATAGGCGTTTTTAGCATAGGCGTTTGTCGCCTTGGCGTTAGTCGCCTTTGACGTGTGTCGTCAGTTTTTAGTCGCATAGGCGTTTTCGCCTTGGCGTTAGTCACGTGTGTCGTCAGGTGCGTTAGTCGCACGGGCGTTAGTCGCCCTTAACGTTTGTCCTCAGTTGCACAGCCGCCATCAGCGTTGGTTGCCACAATAAAGCCGCCAGTGTGTTCATTTTATGATTATAGATATTATATGCAATACAATACAGTTTATAGACATATAAACGTGGTATATATATATATGTATATGTATAAACTACGTTTACATGATTTAATGAACCGTATAAAGAACCGAATGCTGTAATTCCCTAGATTCAGAACCCGGCGATCTAGGTCGGACTGCAGGTGAGTTGCTCCGCTACTATCGAACCGAGTCTATTTTAGGACGCAACATTAAGGTATGACAAACACAGTTAACTTTAGGAAATTTACTTAGTAAATATGTGTGTCATTTTATCTTGGAACGAAGCAAGTGCCACTTTTATTTGTGGCAGTGGACTTTTCGAAAACAAAAACTCAATTTACATATATCTACGAGTATTTATAAAGGAGAAAGTGTGTTGAGACTTATAGGATAAGGCAAAAATATAGTAAGCTAATTGAGCATATCGTTATGACATCTTACTCTGTTTTTAGAAATTGTATAAGCACATTCAGAATTTTTCAAAATATGTAAAGAAATATTCTACTACTACATACCAATGTTCTTTTCATTCCAAACTTTTTTTAATTATAAATTATTTAGTTTTATTACATATTTCTGTCTAAAGTTTTTTTTTCTTATGTATCTTTTTTAAATTTAGGACTGTGAAGAAATATTAAAGTTTTTATTTCAAAAATATAATTTTTAAATAAATATACTTCATTTTACTAGTAATATTCAATAAATATATTTTATTACTTTGCAATGAATGCAATTTGAATCCTAAAATGTAATTTTGAAATCACATCTTCTTTATTTAAACGTGACAAATGTATTAATATTAATGTGTAAATATAATACTGATATTTTATTGCTAATTTTATAATGATTTTTAGAAAAAGAAACTTATTGGACTATAAAGTCGACGTATTTCTATATTAAAACAGTTTCAATCCATTATGTCTTCATACAGTTGTTAGTGTATAGAACCGAGAAGTAATATCAAATCAAAAGTTCCTCCTCGGCCAAGCATGCAAAACTTAAATCTTTTAGAAAAAGAGTTGGGAAAGTCTGATTAAAAGTCCTGTGGAGATCGTTTGGATTTTTCCTTCTAACTACACTTCGCTAACTACTTTGTTGCAATATTAAAGTTTCAAGTCAAATTGCAGCCACCGTGTCGCTTTAGTTGACGATGTACAAGATGCAATTTGTGATCACGATGCGGTTCTTTTTAACAAGTGTATGCTTTATAAGACGTTGCGAATCGGATTACCATTTATTTTTCATTAATGCTATCGTTTTCTTAAAATGGTATTCATTTAATTACTCCTATGCGTACTGATATTATATTTATATATATATTTTTTGGGTAAGTATTAAAAGTTACATAAAATTTTAACTATATTATATATAATTGAAGTTTATTTGGTAGGCTGTAACGTATCAAGTGATTTGAAAAGTCGTATCGCCAGTTCGTAGCGGGTAGCACGACTTTTTAAAACAGCCATAACTTATTCAAGATTGCGGAGCGTCCCCAGTGCCGACTCGTTTATGATATTATTTCCAACTTCTCACGCAAATTTAATAGGAAAATGTAGAGAACTTATTTTTACACTTTCATAAGTAGTAATAATTATTTTTTCTTTTGTCAGAGTGTATTGGTATAAAATGGCATCCTTTCGTTTTAAACCATTAAAACATAAAAATTTATCACGTTGCATGTATAAATAATTAAATTTTTACTATTTCAACATGGATTTATAAATATAACTAATATTTTTTAGTTGCGGAATATTCACAATATTTTGTTTTAGTTTTTTTTATAAAAAAAAATATACGCCAAAAATATACAATGATGACATATGTTTATTCGCAACTTTTCTACTTCAAACTACACACAGCGATCACTTTTTAACATGAATTAAAATAGTGGAATAAAATCTAGCTTTTGAAAACAAAAGTTTCTCTCATTTTCTTTAAAAATATATATAGGCAATAATTGTCTTACTTTTACTCACATTATATTAATTTTAAACATAAAAGGCTGACAACATGCCAAGGACATAAATTCGTATAATTCTTTTTTAGCTCTGATATTCTATTCTTTTCATTTTTAAAAACTCACAGAGAGACTTTGTCACACACGTCATATACATAACTAACTTCCAGCACGTTTCCTAATACACCAGAGCCGGTTTACAATTGGATTAGAAGCGACATCTCGCTCCAAAATCACACCAGATCTAGGCTTGGCATGTGCAGTTTCTACATTTACAATTCTGATTGGCAAAGGTGACCCCATTCAGTTTATCTACACGAAATGCTGCATAAAAATACAGAGAAATTAAAAAAATATTATGGAGGTTCCATTTACAAGC